CGGAACTTAAGGCCCTAATAGAATACCTCGAAGGCAGGACCGTCGAAGTCCCGAAGGTATTCAAGCGAGCACTTGCGTCGCTCTTCCCGCGAAACCGTCTTCTCCAAAAGAAAAACTTATCACCACATCGAGCCAAGTACCTCCTTGTGGTGCCTTCAGCTCTCAACCAGAACTCCTGCAGGCCCTGCACGACGATCCGACAGCAGGGCACCTCGGTGTTTCTCGCACACTCGCGAGGATACAAGAAAGGTACTACTGGCCACGTCTTACCACCGACGTCACTCGTTATATGAGGACATGCCGGGACTGTCAACGACGCAAGCCACCACAGACAAGGCCGGCGAGACTTCTGCAGCCGATTGAACCACCTCGCCGACCTTTCCAGCAGTTTCGTATGGACCTACTGGGGTTGTTCCCGATGTCAGCTTTCGGAAACAAATGGATCGTGGTAGCTACCGGCTACCTCACCCGCTACGCCAAGACGAAAGCCCTGCCATAAGGCAGTGCATCCGAGGCAGCTAAGTTCTTCGTCGAAAATATCGTCCCACGTCACGGCGCCCCGGAGGTCCTTATCACCGACAGAGGAACGGCATTTACTGCTGACCTATCTCAAGCGATCTTGGCATACAGCCAGACAAACCACCGCCGGAAGACAGCGTACCACCCACAGACCAACGGCCTCACCGAGCGGCTAAACAAGACGATCGCCAACATGCTGGCAATGTACACCGATGTTGAACACAAGACGTGGGATGGCATTCTTCCGTATGTGACCTTCGCATACAACATGGCGGTACAGGAGACGATGCAGATATCTCCATACAAATCGGTCTACGAAAGGAGCCCGGCAACGACGCTCGATGCCATGTTACCCAACGTCACCGACGAAGAAAACCTCGATGTGAGAGTGAGTACCTTCAACGCGCCGAAGAAGCCCGACAACTCACGCGTTTCCGTATCAAGAATCAACAGACGACCGACAGCCGTCGTTACAATCTTCGACGACGCTTCGTGGAATACCAGCCCGGTGAACGTGTTTGGGTGTGGACGCTGATATGCCGACATGGACTCAGTGAAAAGCTTCTGCGACGGTACTTTGGACCGTACAGGGTGGTTCAACGTCTCGGCCCACTTGATTACGAGGTTGTCCCCGACGGCATCACGAACTCTCAACGACGCCGATCGCGACCTGAAGTCGTCCATGTCGCGCGCCTCAAGCCATTTCATGCCCGTTAACAAACTGAAACAGTGTTTTTTGCATTATTGCTGTATCGTAATTTATTCATTGTACTTTCTTGCATTATTGATGTACCTTCATCTTTAGTTAAAGCATCGGGACGATGCCATTTTCAGAGGGGGGCAATGCTTCGTTTCATTTCTCAATTTTTGTTATCGCCCCAAAACACTACACAATTCTCAGCGCAAAACGCGCGTGCAGTTTTCGAGAAGCTTCCGGACTTTAGTAGATCATTTCGATAAGATCACACCCACTCTGCGAACTGTACAGATTATTCTGGAACCTACGCCACCGCCAGCGATAATGCTAGAACATTCGATGGCAAAAGTATAAATGCCGACGCACTTCGCCGCTTGTCAGTTGTTGATCGACGGCCGACGCTGCGTTCGCCGCTATCAGTCCAAGACTGCTACTGTAGCCCAACTTTCAGTTTACTGGGCACAGGTTCGCCCAAATAAACAGGATGGGACCCTACGTTTCTGCGTCGATTATCCCCGCCTGAACAAAATCACAAGAAAGGACGTGTATCCTTTCCTACGAATAGACAACGCACTTGATCGGCTCCATAACGCCAAGTACTTTTCGTCAATGAACCTTAAGACTGGCTATTGGCAAATCGAAGTCGACGGAAGACACCGAAAGAAGACGGCGTTTATAACACCAGACGGCCTCTTCGAGTTTAAGGTGATGCCCTTCGGCCTTTGCTCAGCACCTGCAACTTTTCAAAGCGTTATGAATACAGTACTGGCAGGATTGAAGTGGCAGACTTGCCTTGTGTACTTGGACGACGTCGTCGTGTTTTCCTCGAGTTTCGATGAGCATCTTCGGCGCCTTGAAGCTGTACTTCAAGCCATCAAGACGTCCGGACTCACGCTGAAGCCAGAGAAGTGCAGATTTGCGTACGAAGAGCTCTTGTTTATGGGGCACGTGATTACCGATTCCGGAGTCCCTCCCAATCCACGGAAAACAGCCGCCATCGCAGACTTCCCGCCACCCACGGACAAGAAGGCGGTGCGCCGATTTCTGGGCCTGTGTGCCTATTATAGGCGGTTCGTGAAAAAACTTCGCCCGCATCGCCGATCCACTCACTAACCTTACCAAGGCCGACGTGGAGTTCTAGTGCAAAACGCCGAAAGAACACGCTTTCCAGGAGCTTAAACATCGCCTCCAGACACCTCCGCTACTTGCTCATTTTGACGAATTTGCCGAGACAGAAATACACACTGACGCATGCAGCGTAGGTCTTGGCGCCGTTCTCGTGCAGATGGCTGACGGACTTGAAAGGGTTATTAGTTACGCCAGCCGATCGCTATCCAAAGCAGAAGCCAATTATTCCACAACAGAAAAGGAGTGCCTCGCCATCATCTGGGCTACGTCGAAATTTCGCCCCTACCTCTACGGCAGGCCCTTCAAAGTTGTGAGCGACCACCACGCCTTGTGTTGGTTAGACACCTTAAAGGACCCTTCAGGTCGCCTCGCACGATGGAGCCTGAGACTTCAAGAATATGACATTACCGTCGTTTACAAGTCCGGCAAGAAACACTCCGACGCCGAATGTCTCTCTCGTGCGCCTGTCGACCAACCACCACCCGACGACCCGGGTGACGACTACTTCTTGGGAACGATAACTACCGACGACTTCACTGAACGACACCAGGCCGACCCGGAACTTAAGGCCCTAATAGAATACCTCGAAGGCAGGACCGTCGAAGTCCCGAAGGTATTCAAGCGAGCACTTGCGTCGCTCTTCCCGCGAAACCGTCTTCTCCAAAAGAAAAACTTATCACCACATCGAGCCAAGTACCTCCTTGTGGTGCCTTCAGCTCTCAACCAGAACTCCTGCAGGCCCTGCACGACGATCCGACAGCAGGGCACCTCGGTGTTTCTCGCACACTCGCGAGGATACAAGAAAGGTACTACTGGCCACGTCTTACCACCGACGTCACTCGTTATATGAGGACATGCCGGGACTGTCAACGACGCAAGCCACCACAGACAAGGCCGGCGAGACTTCTGCAGCCGATTGAACCACCTCGCCGACCTTTCCAGCAGTTTCGTATGGACCTACTGGGGTTGTTCCCGATGTCAGCTTTCGGAAACAAATGGATCGTGGTAGCTACCGGCTACCTCACCCGCTACGCCAAGACGAAAGCCCTGCCATAAGGCAGTGCATCCGAGGCAGCTAAGTTCTTCGTCGAAAATATCGTCCCACGTCACGGCGCCCCGGAGGTCCTTATCACCGACAGAGGAACGGCATTTACTGCTGACCTATCTCAAGCGATCTTGGCATACAGCCAGACAAACCACCGCCGGAAGACAGCGTACCACCCACAGACCAACGGCCTCACCGAGCGGCTAAACAAGACGATCGCCAACATGCTGGCAATGTACACCGATGTTGAACACAAGACGTGGGATGGCATTCTTCCGTATGTGACCTTCGCATACAACATGGCGGTACAGGAGACGATGCAGATATCTCCATACAAATCGGTCTACGAAAGGAGCCCGGCAACGACGCTCGATGCCATGTTACCCAACGTCACCGACGAAGAAAACCTCGATGTGAGAGTGAGTACCTTCAACGCGCCGAAGAAGCCCGACAACTCACGCGTTTCCGTATCAAGAATCAACAGACGACCGACAGCCGTCGTTACAATCTTCGACGACGCTTCGTGGAATACCAGCCCGGTGAACGTGTTTGGGTGTGGACGCTGATATGCCGACATGGACTCAGTGAAAAGCTTCTGCGACGGTACTTTGGACCGTACAGGGTGGTTCAACGTCTCGGCCCACTTGATTACGAGGTTGTCCCCGACGGCATCACGAACTCTCAACGACGCCGATCGCGACCTGAAGTCGTCCATGTCGCGCGCCTCAAGCCATTTCATGCCCGTTAACAAACTGAAACAGTGTTTTTTGCATTATTGCTGTATCGTAATTTATTCATTGTACTTTCTTGCATTATTGATGTACCTTCATCTTTAGTTAAAGCATCGGGACGATGCCATTTTCAGAGGGGGGCAATGCTTCGTTTCATTTCTCAATTTTTGTTATCGCCCCAAAACACTACACAATTCTCAGCGCAAAACGCGCGTGCAGTTTTCGAGAAGCTTCCGGACTTTAGTAGATCATTTCGATAAGATCACACCCACTCTGCGAACTGTACAGATTATTCTGGAACCTACGCCACCGCCAGCGATAATGCTAGAACATTCGATGGCAAAAGTATAAATGCCGACGCACTTCGCCGCTTGTCAGTTGTTGATCGACGGCCGACGCTGCGTTCGCCGCTATCAGTCCAAGACTGCTACTGTAGCCCAACTTTCAGTTTACTGGGCACAGGTTCGCCCAAATAAACAATTTATTATTCGACTCGCAGTGTGCTCCATTTGTCCCCGTGACAATATGTCAGGCCATAATTGCTCCACTGCTATTAAAGCCAGCAAAATATTAATTTAGATGTGCAATCTCTCTGAATGGCCACATTAAGGCACAAAGAGGTAGAACAGGAGCAAAAAAAATGGGGTACCATTGAACGTATTAAACATGACATCATTGACCTTGCTTTCTGCCGGAAATACTTAAGCTTTTGCTTCGAAGAAGAGAGCGAGGGTGCAGTGTTCACACGTGTTACAATTTTCCAGCCCAGAAACATGCGCAGAGTGAGTGTGCTCTGCTGGGAAGCACGAAAGAGGAGTGCAGTACCAAAGGAGCTAGTGCAGAACACAGTTAAGCGCATCGAGCGGGCATCGCCCTATACCTTGAGGCCCCGTGATGCGGGCAAGAGGGCGTCCTCAGGAACGGTGACATCCTCCATGATGATCATGCCAGTGGCCGAGGCACGCAGTGAGAACTTGCCCTCAATGCGTGGTGCTGTCAGGCCGGGAGTGCCCTTCTCGAGCACAAAAGCACGGATGATGCCGTCCTCCTCACACTTGGCCCACACCACAAACACATCAGCCTCGGGCGAGTTGGTTATCCTGCACAACATGTTTTCCTCGTAAATTGTAGCACAGGCTACTGTAAAGGTCGAGTTAACCACACTTCCTCTTAATACACAGCTGGGACCATAAGGGGCGTCTGAATAATATCCCCACAGCACAAGAAACACTCATCTCAAAAACAAACAAAATGTTGCTAGCAGAACTTGAGAGATGTCTTAGTTTGATGCCTAACAATGTCCCCTTCAGAGTTATATGCAGAAAGAAAAAAGAATTAAAAACAAGTGGTACCCATTGTTGAACTGTCACAAGTTCATTCATAACAAACAATAACATCTAGCTTCGAGATAAAGCATGAGGAGCAGGTTCCCTGAGGCCGAAAATATTTGCGGGGCTGTAGCGTTCACAATGGTGACCAGCTAACCTATACCTGCATTTCTAGTGTAAATGCCTGTCCAACCATTCTTCTTGCACGAGCGACGGCAAACAATGTCTTTCACCAGACTCAGGGTGTATCGTACAAGGTACGGATGCACTGAGTGTACTACTGTAATTCCCCACCGACTTTTACCGTCATTGCCAACACATGTAAGGCCACATGCTATAAAACCCAACAGCTGTTTTCAATAAATGTTCTTGCTGTTTCTGCTTCAGTTGACCGTTACATGGTGTCCGAAGTAAGCCGACTGGTGGCGTGCCAAGCAATGGCTTGAAGAAACAAAAAAGCGTTCTGCCATTAAGCTGGGAAGAATGGAACTACTCGGACCACCTGTCTAGCTACATCTGTCCAGAAACCTTGCCAAGTGGGCTTTCCCTGAAGTACAGAGACTGCTAAAACAGTGCTGCCACCATAGTTTCCTATAAATGCCCTAGAGGAAACTTTGGGGCTAGTGTATATGGAAGCTGCCACGCACGGTGCTTCAGCAAGCATTGGAATGATGGCTAGTACATGAATTTGTCTATTTTTTTCATACTTTTGGCTCCAGTTGGATTTGGGTGGCTTGAAGCTGCTTTGTCATGAAACAAAATCAGCAAACGTTGAGCAATTACAATTCACTACCTTAACCTTCTAAGCTTGCGATTTGAAATCGGGCCACGAAGCTCAAAAGGGTTCGTTCTTTTCTTCAAAACAAAACCAAAACACAGCAATAAAGGAAGCCACAAGTGTGATTTGAGGCCAAAGACTAGGCGAATCCATGTACTACCCATTATTTCCATGGTATTTGAATGATCACAGCGCCATAGTTAATTTTAGATAACTGTATGGCTGCGGCCGAGCGTTGCTGGAGGCAACACACACACTGGAGGTATTTAATAACTTACCTTTTATGACACAAGAAGACAAAGATGCAACAGTTATGAGCAAGCAAGACGGTAAATGCAACTGGAAGCACGAGTGGAACGAAAGTCCAACATTGGGGAGAATATTTTGCGAGAAAAGGTGCATATCCCATCAATAACTGCAGACAAAATCAGGAAAGCCATGGAGGAAATACAAAGAGGCAAAGCTGCTGGTGAGGATCAGATAAAATCAGAACTGAAAGACGGAGGGCAGGTTGTGTTAGAGAAACTAGCCACCCTGTTTACGAAGTGTCTCCTGAAGGGGAGGGTACCAGAATCTTGAAAGAATGCTGACATCTTCTTAACCCATAAAAAGAGGGGTGACAAGGACTTGAAGAATTACAGGTCAATCGGCTTGCTCTCTATCGTATACACGCAATTTACAAAGGTAATCGCTAACAGAATTAAGACAACATTAGAATTCAATCAACCAAAGAAACAAGCAGGATTTCAAACAGGCTACTCAACAATCGACCACATTCATATTATCAATCAGGTAATAGAGAAATTCAGAATACACCCAAACACTATGCAATGCCTTCATTGATTACGAGAAGGCATTTGATTCAGTAGAAATATCAGCAGTCATGCAGACACTAAGGAATCAGGGCGTCGACGAAGCATATACGTATAAACATCCTGGAAGAAATCTACAGGAGATCAACTGCCACCATAGCACTCCAAGTGTTACGTGTAGTATAGAAAATATTAAAAAGTAGCGTACTATGCCGCTTACGACTTGAACCCATCTGAAAAAACAGTGCTAATTCAAACAAGGACAAAGAAATATCATACGAGCATGGGCGCTGTCATCATGCAATGACCCTGGTGCTATTAACAGCTTACTGCAATTTCAAGTGGCATCCACTTCTCTTCGAACCAAAAAGTCACATGCTCATACATCTACCATAAAATCTCGGTGAAAAATAATTTGACTAGATTTGGAGGGTGGCCCTTCCTTGGTCGTGAATCAAAATTCGAAATGATGGTGGAAGAGTTACTAAGCTAAAAACTGCATACCCCTGCTTCTAATGAAACATGTGTACACTGTTACCATTCCTCCTCGTTGGGTGAATAAAAGCAGCTAATGAGACAGTGAAAACAGCTAGAGGAGAGAGGAGGCAGCACATTTGAGATCTCCCAAGAAGGAAAAGAGGGCACTTGCTCGGTATTTTACGGTTGAGCGAATCCCTCCAAAATTGCGCAAATTAGCTGAGTCATGGCAAATATGCTTTTTTTAACAGTATGTGATATGTTCTATTCGAACTATGCATTTATTTGAAATTATTCCACCAAATCGATACTATTTGCCTTGATCCTTCGATTTTACTATTTGCCCATTTTTTTAAATGGGCATTGTGGTGTTTTTTGTGCACTACAAGCTTTCGTATGGCGTACCAACATGCTCAAAATGCTGCGTTACTTAACTAACGTTGGTGCTGGAAGCAATCCTGGAAATAAAGCCATAGATAACAAAGTCCAGACAAACAGCGACTGCAGCTGCTGGGATATTTTCGAGCAAGTCTTCTAACTTGTCCAACAAACACACCTGCAGTCCCCGCACAACTTCTGCCTGCCTAACAACTGCGAACCATCCCCGTAATGCAAGACCACTCAGTCTGCCGCAGTGCCACAATCCTGCACGGTCTAAACCCACTTCAAAGGCCCAAACTCACTCACTCAGTAAAGCTTTTCCTTTCTTCCTTACCAAAATATGAGCAGGCGTAAGACTCGCAAGATTGTTTTTCATGTTCCGCAGCACAAATGTTGGTGATAAGAAAGTGCCCTGAATGCAATCTTATCAACAAGAATAACGTCATAAAAACGGAGCCTCCATACCAAGTCTTTGACCCATTGAGAGTGTAAGTGCGTGCCGAAGGATCGTGTCGTGCACGGGTTTCTAGGCCCCCCGGGTTGCTGCCGTGGTTGGGCTCGGTGAGACCAAAGCAGCCCAGCAGTTCACCCTTGGCCAGTCTGGGCAGGTACTTTTGCTTCTGCTCTTCAGTGCCGAACAGGTAGATGGGCAGCATCACCAGCGACGACTGCACGCTCATGGCCGAGCGGTAGCCACTGTCGACCCTGCCACAAGGAGTCAACGTGCAAACCCACAAAATCAGTTTTTCTAGTACCACTGCTCGACTGTACGAGGCCCCCTGGCCTTTCTCCATACCATGGAGGGAGACTGTGGCAGCTCTCAGTCATGTTCACTTGAGATCTGCTTGGGACAGTGCAGCTATTCTCAATCAGTGTGATACAGCTCGGTGTCACACGCGAGCTACCTTCCCACTGCTGAAGCCACCCTAGACACGATCAAAAATGCACATCGGCACAAACGACCGGAGGGCTCAGAGAAGAAATGTTGCTCCGTATACACGGCAAGGAAACATAAGAGACACTCACAGATGAAAAAAAAAAAAAATGTGCTCATGTTTGTCTACGTGATCAATCCTTATACTAATATCACTATGTTGCATGCATGGCTGTTGAAACAGCGTGTAACTGCATAAAATTGAAGGCTTGCCAAAGTGATGAACTGTTGAATGTTCAGTGCTCTCTGTCCTCTCTTCCGTTCCTTCTTGTCGTGTGCGCTGATAAGCACTCTTAATCGTGCTGAGCCAACATCCTACAGTATTCCAAGCACTTGGCATAATGCAGCTAGCAGCAATAAAACGAGCCTCCTGTGGTGAACTACGTACCTCTCGACCTCGCGAGCAGTGAGTCCGTATGCCACGTAGGAGGTACCTGCGCAGCCGTATCCCTGCAGAGTGCTGCCCAGCACACCCAGCTCCCCCAGCTCGCGAACTATGTCCCGGTCGAAGGTCTCGTGCCGGTTGGCCATCAGTACGCGTGGTTGCAGCCGCGTCTGGCAGTAATCGCGCACTGTGTCTCGCACCAGGCGCTCTTCCTCGGTCAGCTGCTCTTCCAGCAGGAACGCATCCCGGTGGTCAAAGCCTGCCATCACACAACTGTGCTCAAGCTCTCCACAGCATGCGAGATGTTACAGAATGCTATTTGTAATCCCAAATCAAAAAAAAAAAACAGACAACAATGAGACAGATATAACATGAGTCCCAAGAAAAAGAACACTGAAAAGGTGGGAGGCATCAATCTAGCATGACAGCCACTTTGCACAACCAGCAGACTGCCTGCTTAGGCCATTGCAGAAGACAGTAATAGCCAGCACTGTCAAAGGGAAAGTTCGAAACTACAAGTGGGTTTATTATTTCATTTATAGCTGAAATCAGCTTGTGAGATGGGCAGCATGACAATGTTGTTGGAAGTTTAGCACAGGTTATACCAGAAGGATACTTTCAGTTGTAGGGAATAATATGGCCTGACCAATCTTAAATCTGCTGTAACATCCTGACAGGAAACAGTATCAGAAAACATCAGGGACATCAAAAAGGGAGACAGGACACACTAAAAAGTGCAGAATGAGTGCAAGTTGTACAAGAACAAAGAAAACACACTGACAGAAATGTAAAGACCAGGCCAACTGAATACTGCGCAGAAGCTTCAAGAAAAAAATACTTCTTGAAGAGAGACATAAAGGGCACAAAAAACAAGGACAAAAAAAGAAAACACACACATGGGTACATTAAAAGAATTTGAAATTGTTGGCAGAGCTTCATAACTGGAAAAAGCACGGGCAAATGTAGTAAGACAGATATGTCAACAATTTTTAAAATTTTTTATGATATGAACTCCACAAAAAGTTGTAAAAAGGTTGAGATTTTCCACTGATTCTGTACCTTTTTCAGACTTTTCACTGGCCGAGTGTGACCGACTCCAAAATTGCCTTTAGTGCAGAGCACACTTGTGTGGAGGACTCCACTGACCCAAAGAAAAACATGCCATCATTTCCATCTCAACATTTTAGGCTAGTCAAATGTGCTATCGAATTTTCATCGTTAAGTCGTGTCTGCATCAAGTCACTTCAAGTTTTACCAATCATGTCTGCAGATTCAAGGAGGCTGCCTCTGACCAATTCTTGTCGGGGTTGGCCACAGTCATTTTGAAAAAAAGTGGCGAGACCTTGTGCTATATATGACAGGGCTGGAGTGGCATTCATTCCCATTCTGAGCAGTGTTTTGTAAGAGATCTAGAAAGCGTGTGCCAGCGTCTCTGTTGTGTTCTCACCGCCAATCCGTTGTGCAAGAAAGGGAATGCCCCTTGCCCAAATCCATCCGTTTGCAAAGGAACTGCATGTAACTCGGGTAGTGCTCTGCAAGGCTCAACAAAGTTGCAGTGCCTTACGGGGCCCTTTACATCGGACCGGCGATGAGAGCGCAAGAATAACCTCAAGACCAAAACGAGAAGCAATCTGGCAATTCATGGCGACAAGTGTGACATGAGCAAATGTGGCTATAATACACATTTGAAAGAATCTAAGAGTGAGCTTGTTGGCGTTGATACATGAAGTCTATTTTTAGCACTATGTCTGTGTTTTTTGTGTGCTACAAGTTTTCACCTTGTAAAGTCTAGGCCCAAATTGCTTGCGCATTTAACATTTGACACTTGTGCATTTTTTGTGGCATTGCTTCAGCAATATTTCTTGCACGAACATTACAATTAAAAACCGATGACAGTCCCATAAAAAAAAACTTGCAAACTTACTAAGGCAAACGAAAGAGCAACTCCCCCAAAATCAAAGAAGGCCACTTTTCATAATATTAGACGTTTACCAGGGTATGTCACATTGTGACGTCAGCGTCGCACGTGCAAGGGCAGTTGGCAAAACACTCCGCTGGTGGCTGAACAGGACACAGTCGCACGGTGCTTGTGGCAAGCATTCTTTATATTTCAAAGCTTAAACTTTATTTTAAGGTGGCTACATTAGCTGTGGTATGCCTCAGAGAGCATCTAAATGAGTGGCAAGCTGCGTGATAAAATATTTGCCACACTGGCTGGCTGTTTATCTTGAAGAAGTGAACAGATGTGGCGACCTGTGCGAAAAACAGCAGCATCGTCTTACAAAATGTGCAATGCGTTGACAGGTAGAGACATTATTGGTTCACTTTTCATGAATGTAAAATTTTGTGCGTGGTGTGTGCAGTGTGAATAAGTCTAGTTTACTAAAACATTGGCACTCGATGTAGGCCGGTGGCAGCAACGGGTTGTCGATAGAACTTTACTATTCGACATTTTAGTCAAAGTAAAATGCATTTGATACAATCATGCATGAGTGAATACATCTCAGCACTTTTTAAAATTTTTTTTTATTTATCAAATACTGCCGACATGCAGTCCAAGCAGGGAGGGCAAATAAAATAGTACAACAGTGAACATGTAGAAAACAAAAAGAACAAATGAAACAAGAACACTAATACAGAAATTGAGTCAATACAATTGGCGAAACACTATACAAACAAATTAATAATAATTGGCATTTTGGTATCGATTCGGCTATTTAATTCCATTCCTGTATGAGGAAAAAAGGAATATTTAAATGTGTTCGTTCTCGTGAAATAGGTTGTTAATGCATCTTGTCTACGGTGACGAGTGGTTTGGGTTAATAGGGACGACAGATATAAAGATGAGTCCAGGGGTGAATTGTTCGTGTACACTAGTTTAAGAAATTCCAGTCTGTGCTTCTGTCTTCTCATATAGAGCGCTGTGTGCAAAAACAAGTGCTTGATCTCCGGGTTGAAAGATGTGGCTTTGCATGAGCGTCACCTTGTCTGTGCATGTTACACCATTGCCGAAGCTGAATATGCCATTCGCCACGGTGAATACACTAACCAAATAAAGGCATAACTCGTATTATTGGAGACCTCATATGTCGTAATGGAAACAGCGAAAATTGTTGTTTCTCATATACTTCGTACCTTTACGGCTTGATCTTTATGAAGTGACAATGCACACTAGAAGCTTGCGTATCAGGTCTAAAAGAGCAACGTAGGTATGCAAACACGTTGTAGGCATTAAATGCAGCCTGGTAACTGTGAAAGATACTATCATGTATATTTAAGTTATCCACTTTAAAATGGCATCGATTTCAGTAGCTTATGAGGAATTCTGTGGGAGAACTTCTATTTATTTTCACAATGATTTGTTTACTTTGGCCTAACGCACGACAAAATGTGTTTCCTTTTTTTCTTTCTTCATAGTAATCTGGTCAGAATTTTGTGCGGTAAGTGTGAACCTTATCCGTGACCTTGCCCACAGCGGCTCAAAACTATGCTGCCACCAATGCTGTATTACCTCATTTTAAACTGCACTGTACATGCCGCAACGAAAATTCGGTACGTTTACACCCCTGTCATGCAAATATTTCTCAAAGTGCCAGTCACCATACATGCAAAGCGTTCACTTTCAAAGAAGATAAGAGTTTTTTATTGCTACCATCTACGACTAGCAAATTTCCACATATTAACCAAACAGAATCTTGCACTGTAGGCCGTGACCCTTCCTTTTCAAAGCTGTGACTTCAGAACATAGCAATGCAGAAATTTCTGTGAAAGAAAAGCAGACAGACGCAGCTCTGCTATGCAGGAAGATGCCGTCGACGGAACTTTCTAGCCAACAGCCTATTCCGAGAGAGGGGTGCTCGCAGTGATGTCACACTGTTTGCGACCTGGGATAGGTATATACGGTACATGCATACGGTGGTACATCATATTAAGAAGGTTGCTACAAAGTACGGTGCGAAAGCTGTGCTCACTGCGCCGAAAAAGCTGATGGGATTTGTGCACAAAAATAAATGGCGACCACAACATGAACAAAGATCAACCAGACATGCAAAAAGGTTCATTGGTATGCACAGGATCCCACTGTCCAGTGGAGCTCATTATGCTAGACAGATGAGAAGGTGCTTCACCGAGGGGATGCGGAAGACCGCAGTGGCCTCCTGCAAGCTTGGCAGCATCTGGTGACACACTAAAGCAGCTGCACTCGCTGTGAGAAAAACAAAACTGTAATAGTGCACAGGCCGAGCGAGCAGATGAAAAGGGAGGTCATTGAAACCTTCACTGCAAAAAGGGTCCTCAGTCAAATTGAAAATGCTAGGTTGCACTGATACCTAGGCCACCTCTGTGCCCATGCGTGGTCACTGCGTACTCTCACATCATGCTCATCTACATGTAAAATAGTAATTAGTTTGCAATTATGTGTTTTGTAAGAGGTGTGTTCAAAAAGAAACCATACTTCTTTTTATAGCACCTTAACTACGTGTGGTACAACTTTTTAAGCATTTCCCCATTGAAACTAGTACTCGTCTCAACTAGCAATACACAGTTCCCAACATTTCTTCCATTTGTGGAAAGCCTCAGGGAACACACTTTCTAGAATGGCCCACAGGTCTCTTCTCCCATTGTTGTGTATCTGCTCTACGGTTATGAAATGGCATCCTTTCAATGCGGTTTCATGTTCAGCATAGAGAAAAAAATTTCATGGCGTGGTCACTATTATACTCACTTTGCAGGCAACTTCTCAAACAGTCTAATGAAAATTTCCTCAAATCACAGCACAAACTCTGGAAGTTGTCATCATCTGCTGTTGTGAAAGGTTGTCTAGGCTTCGGATCATGAGCGATTGACATTCTACCGTGTTGAAAACGCTTGAACCAACCACAGCACTGTGTGCGACTCATAGTCTTTCTCGTATGCTTAGCTAAGCAACTGAAACATCCCTCTGGAATATTTTCCAAGTTTGCAGCAAAAGTTCACACACACACACACACACGCATGCCGATCTTACAGCTCTCATTGTCACTTTGGTACTAGTAATTTGAAGAACAGCTTGTCCTAGTTCGCGAACTAACGGTGAGAGCGTATCGCGGCAAATAACAGTTTCTTGTTTAAGCTTGCCGCTATGTGCAGTTAATAGCCACAGCGCGCTTTCTGTGGTAGTTGACACTCTGTTGAAAAAGTTGGGTTTTGTTCTCTACATCTACCGTCCCCGTTTCCAGTTTTGTGTTGTTAAGATTGCACAACAAATAATGATATCATTTAATACCACAAGCTTATTGCCAAGTTTTTCGCTTAAGCTCCTTTGAACTTTCTTATCTGAAAATCATTCCAGACTGTTAATTCGCAACATGAAACAAATCAAGCTCATATTGTTTACAGACACAAGGCGTACTGAAAATGAAAAGCACACCATGAAAAAAAATGATGCAATTTTTATATGTATCTCATACAACATAAGTTCCAAAAAAAGTTCACCTACAAATTCATAATACAAATGAATTCAACAGGATAAGGGCTCATTCCTTACAACTTCGTTGAAACAACTGCGGAAAGTGATATTCATTCTCAATGGCTGTAAATACTAGAACAACTTTTCACCGCAAAATGACCACAAATTGCCACATATATAAAGCTGATTACTGAGGTTTCTAATAGCTAGAGAAATCAAGCACACAATAATAGGCCACTACTTAATTTTGTTTTAGTTGAGGAAGTAAGACAATTGAATTGCAGTAACATGACTCAATGCAAACGACACATTCAGGCATCAGTAGGCCTCTGCTCAGCTTTTCTTTTTGAAAGGGCCAACAGAGAACAATGTTTTTAAAGTCACACACATCTGCAACAATTGCAGAATCGTAGGACAGGCAACATATACACCTATGTAGCTGCATGCTTTGTCGATGCCTAAGTGCTTTGCAATGGCCTTCAAAATGCCCACTTGTGAAACTCTCCACCCACGTGCAACCTGCCACATCAAAGTGCTGTTTCAATAACTTCGTCACTTTGTCTGTGCAATGCCCCTTTATTCTAACATGAACTGGTTGCAGTTTCATCAATACATTGCTTGTGAACATACGAGCATGTAGATAATGTTTGTATGTACCACTAAGTTTCGGATGATGCACATAATCACTTGTAGTGCTTTTAGCTAAGGCATCATCAGGGCTGAAACCGCTGAAATTGATTTTGTAACACTTTCTTCAGCAGCAAAGTTTCGACTTTGGAACAGAGGATAATAATTTGAAGCAGTTTGCATCATTCAAAATTTTGCCTCAGGTTACTAGGGTTGAAGCTAGCTCCAGCTGTTTTATGTCTCCAACAGGAAAAAAAGCAGAAGAAAATTCTGACGGGACGCAAGATGACGAAGCGACGACAAGAGTGTCATCCCCTTTTATTCTTAACTTGTGCCTAATCAGAATTTTTCGCAGATTTTTCCCGTTACCACTTTTTAATATATTGAAAAAACAAGTTTGTAGCAACTTGTTAGCGTCAAGAACGTATTTTTATCAGCTTGAAACATACACAGCCCTACAGCAGCATTTGGGGGACGTTTTTTTCTAAGCAAATTACAGCCATCTTTTGCCCCATAAAAAATCACGCTGCTGCATCACATCTTGCATTGTTAAGCACATATTTAAGACAAAAAAGAATAATCCATTCAAAATGTGACTACTGCTGTTCAAGGAACCTGCAGTGCAACACCACTCACGTTTTGCTGAAGAGGCAGTCCGACCTGATAAGGTTAAGATTAAGGGAAGAATACATTCTGCAAATGCATTAGGGACATGTAAATAACAAACGCGACGATAGGCAAACTCTTGAGTTATCGTGCTTCAGAAACCATATCGCACTACTGAACACAAGACAGCATGAAGACGGAACAAGCAGCTGACTTTCAACTAAGGCTTCATTGCAGGTTTTGAGCCCCCATGTCTTTAGAGACATCTGAAATTGCAAAAGGAAACAAAAGAGGGGACAAATGTTTTAGATAAAAGGCAGCAAGCTGATGACACATTTATGTCCTGCCATCTGGCACAGCTTCTCTTGTCACCAAAGGCAAGCCTCTCTTTTTTTTTCCCCACATCTGTGCTTTCTATTCTTCAATCAAGTGTGGTGCAAGCTTCCTATTTCAATGCAGTACTCCAGTGACTGTGACATTCCTCGTATAACCCGTGGCCTCAATGCGTGCCACTTGCTTTTGAAGGGTTCTATCTAACAATAGAACGCACATCTAGAACAGATTGTTTCATGACCAAACTTTTCTGTTGACACAAAAGATTAGTTATAACTATCTGCAAAGCGAAAGTGCAAAAGTAGGGTGTTTGAATAGGTTAGTGCACTGCACCCCCTTTTCTCGAGTGATTTATTTATTGTTTGATGTGATTATGCTCTCTCTATGCAGTAAGGTGATTTTGAAATTTTAAAGATTTTTGGGTAGGTAGACAACTTTTTAGTTGTTATTTTTTAAATCAGTTTTGAAACTTGGAACCACCTGTCGTGTTTACACATACCAACGCTGTTGCTGTGCACATCATAACTCCTTTTGTTTAGTGTTTGGAGTCACTAGGTTTTACGACAAATTATCCTTACAACGCAGTATTGTGGTTTTGGATTGCAGGCTGCATTTAACAGCTGCGGAGATGTTTTGGGTCTGTGAGCCCAGAGCAAACAAGCTGCCCTGATGGCACAGTTGAAGCTCATAAAAACTGATATTCCGCTTGCTTCTTTCAGTCATGAAGACATAACCAATAAAAAATAATAGTGTTGCAGTTACAGTTACCTAAACCAAAAAAGTAACTCTGTTACAGTTACAGTAAAGAAGTAATTTTGTTACTTTTCTATTACTGTACAAAATAAGCAACGGATTGCATATATATATATATATATATATATATATATATATATATATATATATGTATGTATGTATAGAGAGAGAAAGAGAGAGAGAGAGAGAGTTTCACACTCGCTCCATGGCTGTTCGTGGCACTGACCGACACTGCCACGTTTAATTCCTATATATACGCAATAAAGCGGATGGGGGTGTAGTCGCCGTGGTAGCTCAGCTGATAGAGTATCGAACGCGTTATTCGAAGGTCGCAGGTACGGCTTCTGCCCACCCCTCAGCAGGTTATCTTTTCATTCACTCCTTTTTTTTTTCACCATTACATTCCAATTAGGTCTAATAGCTTCCCCTATACTTACCTTGCATTATTGTATATTACATGTCATTATTATTGTGTCTAACAAGAAAAAACTAGACCTTAAGTATACACTTACTTCATATATACATATATATATGACTACCCCCCCTCCCGTCCAAAAAAAAATAGAGTTGCAACATGATTTATTTGCGGCATGCAGTTTACAAGCAGACCCCAAATGCGGTCTTCTGAGCCGACATCCAAACTGCAAGGGAAGCCCTATGACGAAAGATGAAAGGTGAGAAGGACATGGTACGAGTTCGAATAAGTCAAAACACGTTCGAATAAGTCGAAAGAGTTTAACTTTGGCCTATAACAAGTGTTGCAGTAGGACATTTTTTATCAAAACAAAAGGTACTGTAATGGCATTTTTCGTTGCAGCTACTGGGTAAAAAGTAACAGTGTTAAAGTAACAAGTTCTCATTTAAAACTAACTGGTTACAGTTACAAGTTTCTCACAAATGTAACTAGTTACTGGCAAAGCATTACTAGTAGCTAGTTACTGCCCAAAAGTGGCTTCTTTGTCAAATGCTTCGTGAAGAAAGCCTTCCAAAGGCAATTGGCTCGTTTGGACGCCACCCGAGGCACGTCACCAAAGGCCTGCATCCGAAAAGTGGTTTGCATCACACACGTCGACAGGTCGAGGCAAAGAAAAGGAGGCTGCAATCCCTCTGCATTTACAGGTTTTTCTCACTATTTAAAGAAGGCAGCCAACAAGGTTGTGCATGTTAGCAGCATCAAATAAGCCTCTAAGGTTGTCATTGAACAACAAGGCACTTGTGTGCCATTGTTGTATGCTGTCGCCGAATAAGTGAGCACCCCACCATTTATTTGAAAGATTATTTTTTTAGCGTCATATTTACAGAATGCATGCTAGTTGTTTGACAAGGAGTTTTTCGAAACCACTCAATACGGTGTTGCTAGCAGCCGTGTCTGAAGCAGCGTCATCACTCATGGCATGAACAGATCTGCAGCCTTCTTTTATGTTTCTTTCGGTCGTAGATGCCAGCAACTGAGCACCAGTTTTCATCACTACGGTTCACTTGTCACATGCAGCCTTGCACAATCGTGATCCCACAGAATTCTGCAAAGCGGCATGAGCAACGCATGAGCAACGCACGAGCCAAAGCAAAGGTACTTCTAGTACTGGTTCTGAAACTGTGCCTGCAAAACAGGGTCGCAACGAAAGCACGAGACCATTGCTCACTCGGGCGCCTTCGTGAAAGGATACACGACTGCCTCGCGCCGGCACGACGGGCGAGCTGTGGCACGAGAGTCCTGAGTAGCATGTCTGTCGCCCTTGGTTGTCCTTCGATGAATAGCGGCGGTGGGGGACGACCGCCACCGTTATCATTTACGTGACACGACGTGAGAGTAGCCCAGTTGTTCGGCGGCACCTGACAGTCTGCTATGCGGCGGATGTGACGTCGGAGAAACGCGCGCGGAGGAACGAAGGTCCAGTGCGCAGTGGTGCAGCGTAAGCGAACCCCGGTGGTTTTCACGACGTTTTCTTCGCTATGGCTATTCCTCTCCCCGGCAACCCATCGAAGATCCCCATGGGGGCTCTTCGATTTTCAGGCTTCTGGCAGCCAGAGTACAGTGTCTAGAAATATATCTTTAGACATTATAGCCAGAGCTAGCCAAAGGTCAGTAGTACTAGTTTCGGTAGCGTGGCTAGAATGCCACCCTAGTTTCGGTCTGGACAAGAATCAACGTCGTGGTCACGTATGTAGGGAACCCAAGGAGGTTTGTAGAGGTAGAGCCTTCGGTATGGTGGCTAGAATTGGGAGGTGACGCCAACGGGAGCTCGGAGCCGCTCCTTCGTTTCGAGCAGCGCGGCGGTGGCGCTGTCGGCGGAATGGTGATGCTAGTTACGCGCGCGCGCCTTGAGCGCGCGGACCTTTCAAAGATGCTGTTGCTGAAGCATGATTCAGATAAATTGGCGATTCAGATAACTCACTGTGACGATGGCTGATAGAACGCCATTTCAAGCATTAAAAGAAATTGGCTGCCGCTGCAAGACTTCTGTGACGTTGAATCTGCGCAAATTAAAGCTTTCGTTCGCATATCCCTGCAGTGTTTTGGAGTGCAAGGCGACGGCGTTTTTTTAAAAAAAATATTACCAAAGTTCTGGGCGAGGAAAATAAAACAAATATTTATTGCACATCATATTATTAGGAAGATCTATTGCACATCATGGAATACAGGGTAAAATAAAATAAAATGAAAAAATACGCACATTTACATACGCTAGGGAGTAGTTAAAAACATTGAAACATTGCACACAGACAGCGCATCGCTTGGCACTAAGTAATAAGAGGCATACAATCACTTTCCACTCGGCAAAAAAAAATCAATAGAGCTTAAAGTTACAATATCAAACTCAGAGCACGCGTCTAAGCTTCAGCAATTTCATTCTTTCCTGCTTAGCGTTTCGTTTGCTGTTCTGGGCTTTCACATGAAAGTGGAGCCTAGTAAGAACATAAAACTTGATAATTTTGTTTGTGAGGGACATACTGTGGTCAGGGCAGCCAACAAGTGTAAGCTTTCTTAACTGCAAGAAGGAAACCAAGTCCATGATGCTGTCAGGTTTGACTTCTGTAACACTGAAGCAGTGGGTAAAAGTGTTCTCGAGAGTGGTCACGAGTTCATTGAGCTTGACTGATGGGTACAGCAGGCCTCCTCGGTCAACAGCAGCCGTGAGGGATGCTGCAGCTGGAGATGGATCGTTCTCGCCTTGTAGGAGCTGCTGGCTGCACTCTGCACATTTGGTGCTTGCAACGCTTTTTCTTGCCACATATCCAGCCATGTAGAATATGAGTCTGGCATCGCTGCTTTGCACGACCATGTCTGCATGCTCGGTGCCGTGGCCGTATTCATTGAGCACTTCATGTGCTTCGGCAAGGTTTCCTACGTCAAGAAGCTCGTCTAATTTCCTCCGAGGAGTGAGGTCCTTTCCGTTGTCAGCTCCCAGCAGACTTCTCAGCAGTCCTGAGGACACATTGCTTCCTTTCGGTGGTTTTGCCAAATTCCGGAAGCTCAAAGTGTTGACCGAGATTAGGAACTGGGAGGCAGTCGGATGATCATTGCATCCAGACATTTGTCGGACGATTCCAAACAGCCTCTCCAGGGGGTCCTGACTCAAGCGGCATGTCATCATATAGCTGAAGTTCAACTTCATCGTCAGGTAGCGGAGAAGGTGTAGCGTGCTTGATAAGGTAACACGAAGCCCCTCGGCTGTACTGCGGCTTAGGAAACCTCCGGAGCCAGCAGCTGTTTCCCAATCGTCCAGGTAAGTCAAGAAGTTTTGAATGCACTTCTCGTGCATCCCTCCAGGCTTAAGTGCACCCGAACTGCACCTTGAAGTCATGGCCTCAATGAGCCTTCTCATTCTTTCCACAAAGCTGACTGTCGCCGCTGTGCTCCCATGCTTTTCTTCGATGGTTGCATTGTACAAGAAAAGGCCTCTGAGGACTTCATCACTGTAAAGCCGCACTGCATAATTTACCCTCATTTTCTCAAAGCCATTGGGATGCACAACCGATTTGCTAATATGAGGCATGGCTTTGAGAGTCGTGTCATGCTGTTCATCAAGCTTCCGGGCACAGTCAATAGGGTCAACACTGGCATGGCCTTTTGGCAGTTTCACGCCCGTTCGAACAAAGGTGTTCCTCACACATTTAAGAAGGTGTGGGAAGTCCGAGATGAAGTGCAGAAAACGTTCTGGGTCTGCAGGGTGCTGCCTTCTACATACTGTGTTTTCTTTCCTGCCGTGTATGCCGAATGAGTGCCACATGCTTCTGTTCCACGCAGCTCCATCAGTGGTGATAAAGTCTACGTGCAGACCGGCGTTTTCGCTCATGACTACTGCTTCGAGGATTATTTTGCCTAACGTCTCGGACTTCACATTGCTGCGTGATGCGAACACACCAATAATCTGGTGCCACGTGCCTGTAAAAGGCACGAACAATACTACAAGGCCATGGTCACATGCTACGGAGCGCTCACTCTCTGGTGTGAACTTCCCAAGGTCCACAAAACCTTCGATGGTGCCATCGGTTCCCAAGCTCAAGTGTTCAGATAGCTTAATCTCATCAATTAACAGCCCACCATGGCGCTGGAACAAGTCCATAGATTTTGTTTTTTTCCGCCACAGCAGCAAACACTTTTTCGCTCAGGCCGAATCCACTCCTGTAACGCTTGAGATATCGACGTAGTGATGTTCGAGAAGGCAACGCCATGATGTTGTTTTTGCGTATATGCTCATAGAGGCGTGGGCTTTTCATGGACATAATAAGGCACTCTAGAACCCATTCACTTTCATACTTCATCCCTTTCGTGGATTTTCTTTTAGCCGCAGCAAAGCACGCCTTGACTTGTTGCTGCTGCTTAATGGGTAGGGCCTTCACCGCTTCTTCAAATGCTGTAGAATCATTCCGTGCATTCTTTTCTTTCATTTGTTTGATGAGTGATTTAGCCTGCAGGACACTCAGGCGACTCCTTTTCGCTTGCGCTGTTCGCAGCTTAAGCCTGTATGAAAGCTTTTGGGACTGGGCCACATTTTTGCCTTTTCTTCGCCTGTAGGACTCACGATTCAGGAGTAGTCTTCTGAGGTGCTTGCATTGTGGGCAGGCTTTTTCTGGCGTTGGAGCAACCCCACGGCAAGATGGGCTGAAGGTTCTGCCATCAAAAGTCTTCTCCTTGTACTTTAAATTCACTCCAAATTCACCAGTTTTACCAAACCCTCTGCATGGTATCATGGAGTCGACGTCGCGAAGCAACTCTTCTGCCATTTCGATGTCGGTAATGTCAAGGGTCTTTATTTTTGTGGCTTGCACAAAAGCTGTCGCTTGAAGTTTGTTTTCATCTGATGTCATTAGCACATACTTGTCAATAGTCAACTTGTCACCATCTAGTGCGCAAACTGTAAACACCGTGGCGTTGTCGGCTCCAGCAATTAGATGTCGAGCCCAGTAAGCGCTGGGAAGACCACACTTGCGGACGTCGGGAATTGCGGGCACATTCGGAACAGGTATTTGGTTACTGTCGCTTTCTGTGCTGTACGAGCCAGCTGTCTCCTCGCAAGCAGACGTGCTTGGTTCCTGACGCCGAATTTTCGATGGTAGGCCGCAAGTGGATGTTCTTGACGTCCTTTTCTTCGGCACTTTCTTTGAAAGATACGCAGGAACATTTGGGAATATGGTTGGCACCGCGTCAGATTTCAGCACCGGTTTCCCTCGGGGAATCTGAACAGTTTCGCCGTTTATCACATGCGTGTAAAAACGCTCAATAAACTGCTCGTCGAAATGAAGCTCACATAGCGCCGACTTCACGTCCAACGACTTGTCGGCACGGGGTACGGCTCGTTGCCAGGCTTCGAAGAGGGCAGGGTCTTTGGGAACAGAGAAAAGAGAAGCACGCTGACCTTGCTCCCTCGATGACACATAGCCGCTCGTGCAGCCAGGAGCAAAGCAGTGGCGTTGCCTCGCTTTCGTAGTGCTGGAGTTCATCCTAAGGTCGGCACTCACACTGTCATGTCAGCAACTAAATAAATTTTGCCATAAGCGAGACATCAACGCGGAAAACTGCACACACCCAGACACGCTTCCAGAGGCGAACCAGCGAACCCAGCGGCGAGTCGACGAGAGAGCGCGGAGCGCGCGCTTCGCCCGCATCACTATGCCGACAGGAGCGCCGTGGTGGCCGTCGCGGCGGCGCTTGAAAACGAGGATCGCGCGCGCTCGGCGAATATGCGGGCGCTGGCGTCACCTCCCAATTCTAGCCACCATACCTTCGGAGTGGCAGTCTCGGACACCGCCAACGGGAGCAATCGAAGCCGCCCGCGGCCATATTGCTAGAGGAAAAACAGGGCGGAACCGCCATAGACAGCAATGAAATACGCGCGTTGCGCGCGTCGGTTTGCAGTTCTGCGATAAAAAAAAAAATGAGATTGAAACCACTCTTAGGTTACACCGACGAATAAATGCCTATTCGTTTTTATGAAACAAATTATTTCACGCACCCATTGGCAGCTGCATGCTTTCAGATCAATCTGTTGTCGATGGATGTTTCGCATATCGAGCTTGCTGGCGCACTATTGCGGTACAATAGGGTTGTAGTATATATTGGATGTTTTAAGAAATGTGCCAGCAGATACTCAAGATCAAGGAAAACGCGACATTTGCTCGTCTCCTTCCTATATGTGCTTGTGCGTGTCTCGGCAGATTACCAGAAAATATAAATGAGAAAATTGAAATAATTAAAACTAAAGTTGGAGAAGAGAGGTAATTACGTAAATGAGAGTCACCAGTAATTTTTCTAGAGTTATCGAATTCTAACCAATTTACAGGCGGAACCAAAACCGAAGCACCGATGTCGCGTGCAACAGACAAACTCCAGTAAACGTAGCCCAAATGAACCGTTTTTATAAGAACGATTGCAGTGGCGTTAGTTATGCATAATATTTATCAACTTCCGTTGGCGACATGTGTTGTATGGCAAGCCCAGTCTTCAGAGCCTACAGAAACGAGGTAGCTTGATGTTTGATATAACGCCACTCACTCATTTTGACAACTTCGTCTATCAGCGTTTTGCAAGATAGAACGGATTTCAAAGGTGTCTCATCTTGTTTTAGACGCAATTGCTTATTTTTGTGACTACA